ATACCTTTGTAATATTTTCTTGGACAGATACAGTACAGATTTCAAGTAGAATATTTAACCAATTATCTAACGTATAGGGATTATTATTAGGATAAGTCCACACATACATGATAAACGTTATTGGGTCAAGGTTGGTACTTGACAGCGCCCTGTCTATATTTTGTTGGTCTGGAATTGGAGCATAGATTAAAAAGATATTCACAAACATTATTTTGTTTTAACCTATGGGCTGGGTGGGTAAAATAAAAATATATAAAATGTTTCGCTACTCTATGTAACCTACTTAATAAGTAGGTAATTAATATTTAGCTACCTATAGTTTTTATTTTTATTTTGCAATTGATACTGGTATGATGATTAAGGTAACCAACCACAACTACCTTTAGACCATGACATCGACCAATATATAGCTATCTTATATATTGGTCGTTGTCATGGTCTAAATATTCTAAGTTAAGCAATATTAATTCTATCTTTTGCAATGTTTGACCATATTTTGTGGTTAGATTTACCTCTAAATTGTTAAAGGGCTTATTTTGGAACGACGTTCCTTACATATAATACACCTAGTACTGGATGTTACTTACTTATACATTTTATTCGTAATACTTTTGGAAACTACTGCGTCGGAATAATGCATGACCAAATAATTACGCCTAGGAGTTCTTAATCTAAATTTTTTGGTAACAAAATGCCTTTGTAGAAGCTTTGCAAATTCAGTAATTTAGAGTAGATCAAATATCGTATATATAAACGTTAACTTTATTTTTTATATCATTATTATCATCGTCATTATTTACCACATACTCGGCGCTGAAGGAAAACATTGTGAGGAAACCTACTGAAAAACAAAGATAAATATATTTCCCGATGATATGTGAAGCCCACTATCACGCATTGTGGCAACGCAGTGGACATTTCCTTAGTTTAAAATACCCCTCAGAAATAAGAGGAGGCCTGTATCCAAAAATGGGACGTATATAGACTGTAACTTTCCTCTACTGTACATTCATTGCGGTCCTGTGCAAGTTCACTGCTGAACATAGGCCTCTGCCAAGGAATGCCACAATTCACAGCACACAGTACAATACACTTTCATTCATTAACTTTCTAGACGTCTTACCAGGTCGTCACACCATCGAATTCAGGGACGCCGTACACTGCGCTACCGGCATGAGGCTGCCAACCGAGAACCTTTCTTATCCATTGGTTGTCGCTTCTTCGAGCTGTGTACGACCCATTGCCACTTCAGTTTATATGTCCGCTGAGCTAGTGTCGGTTATTCCTTGTTCTACTGCAGAAATCTTCATTACGAATTCTTATGCTGCAAAATTCAGAGCATAGCCCTCTCTGTAGTTCACTAAGCGACCTTATATCCAAAGGTCATTATAATTATAACGATTTTAAAGCTAACGGAATTTGTTTTATAATAATGAGGCCTACTAATCTTCCGCGCACCAGATGTCGCTAGTTGACATTGAGGTGAAATTTCTTGTAACACCAATGCCATTTAATTGAGAATTTATGTTTTAATAAAAGTTTATCAGTTTCTAGAGTATTATATTAATACATAAAACAATGCCTCAGTGGTTTGCTATTTAATTTTTTACAGATTTTTAACTCTTTTTTACTTTCCTACTCTTATGAATATCTGTCGTTTGGTTTATTTATTTTTAATGTAATTAACATAAAACATAATTTTTCGAACAAATTAACTTCCCCGCTATGAAATCTGTCAAATATTATACCTCATTTTTAAGTCGCGCCGCCCTGGTGGCAGAAAAAGTCGTAGATTCGTTTAGTGACTTCATTAGTTTCAAAATGTTTATTCAATGAAAGACCAATTTAAATACTTCTGTATTGTTTAATTTATTACGAACGTCCATGTCTGAAATATTGGTAGATACTAGATTATTGATTCCAAGTGGGATTGGCGCGCGGTTTGGTTATCATTTAATCTGATCGCTAAACTACGCTGTTACCAGTGGCTGATCATCCTCATGGCTAACTAGGCACATGTCTAGGGGCGCAAGGTTAAAAAGAGGTGCGCTCAGAAGTTTTTAAATGAAAAAAAAATCAATTTGATTACTCCTACATCGCCCTCACTCATCACATATTTCATTCACGCCCACCTGTTAAGGGTGCTCGTGTCCTAATTATTTCGCAACTATAGACTACGTATATCATAAATTAAAATATAGTTTATTTTCAAAATGGGTTAGATATAATTTATAATGTACGGCCACTAGAGGGCGCCGATGCAATAAGGTGCTAGCCTAGGGCGCTGTTGATATTTAATCTGCCTCTGGCTGCTACCAATATAATTTCGTTACGTTAAATTTATCGTTACTTATGTAATAATCGCTAGAAGAGTTATTATGGTATTTTGACACTAATATTGATCATAAAACGAAGCTTATAGATTTCTCTAGGGAATTATAACGTTCTACTGCAATAATAGCCACTAATACGCATATTGCATGCAATTCAATAAAATGATACAAAATTATAATTTAACTTGCTTTAAGTTGTTTCAATGGATTATTTTGTGTCGACAAAATATACTGGAGTCTATGAATAATTAACGATAGTTGAAATGATTGTTCTCCTATGTTTGAATAAATAGATTCTATACCTGAATCACATAACATAACATAAACACTCACGCCTGTCACTCAGAGGAGTAGGCAGAAACTATGGACTTCCATTTAGCACGATCCTGACACACATCTCTCGCCTCCTCCACATCCATATACCTACGCATACACGCTCGTTGGTTAAGGATACTCTTAACATGGCCTATTTTCAATATATCGCCAATTTGGTTGATACACTTTCGCCTAGGGCGTCGCTTCTCGACTCTGCCGTTCACCTCTGCAACATAAATTTGCTTTGTCACTCTTTCCTCATTCATTCTTTCTAAATGATCAAACCACCGAAGCATTCCTTTCTTAATCCTGGTCACAACATCATCTTGCAAACCACACTCTTCTCTTATCACACATTTTCTCACTTTGTCATTCATATTTAGCCCTAACATACTCCTTAATGACCGAATTTCTACAGCATTTATTTTATTCTCGTGCTTCTTCTGCCACACCCAACTTTCACTACCATACATTAAAGGAGGGGCTAACACAGCATTGTGAATTGCCATACATGCCTTTTTGGAAACATTCTGACTTTCCACAATAGAGTCATCATCATCATCATCATCATCATTACAGCCTTTCATAATTCCACTGCTGAACATAGGCCTCCCCCAAGGAATGCCACAAAGCACGGTCAAGGAATGCTACAATAGAGTGTAGAGCCCCATTTACTCTATATCCTGCGTTCACTCGTCGTTCTATATCCTTATCATATTTACCATCCCTGCTAATTATTATACTATACCTGAATATTTTTTATTTATATTTTAATTATTATTTTAATTGATTAAAACTCTATATATATTCGACTCAAAGTCGTTTTTCAATGTATCGTAAAACGATGAGACGTCATCGAGATTAGTGAATTAGCTAGTTTATCATTACTGATTCTATACCGTCAGTTTCATATAAATTTCAACCAGATTAAAAAAAACATTTAAAAGTATAAATTAAAGTATAATATTCATAAATTATAATTAAAGAATAATAGTATAAAGTTTAAAAAGTATAATTGACTCCTCGGTAGCGCTGTGCATGAGTATTTGGATACGGCACTGCGAGCCGCTGGTTCAAATTCCTCATGTAAACATTAACCCCAGGATTAGGATTTCTCATGTATCGTGAAGTTCAGTTACATACATAAATTGCACATGGATAAACATCCAGACTCGGAATATTTATTATGTGTAGGTCATACAAACAAGCACTTGTACAATGCTGGATTGTCTGACACCCGTGGATCTGCTGCGTCGCAGTCTAATGCTTAGCCACTGCATTACTGAGCCCACAAATATAACGAAATATTTGTTTTGGTTCCGTTGGGTTTCGGTTTAATTGTCAAAGTTCACCACGATACGGGAGAAATTTCTAGTGTGCTCATATACACTTGTTTACACACACACACACACACACTCACATGCACACACATACACACGCCACACACACACACACACACACACACACACACACACAAACAAAGACGTAACCGTTTAAAAGAATAAGATTATATATTATTTACACAATCATAGATAGCATTGCATCGCATCGCTTATGAATTATGAAATATCAATCGCAAAGCATTTATTACACAAAAAAAAAATTAACAGTTTCTTTAATTTAATTTAACTTTTCTAAGTGTTTGTATAATATGACTAGTAAAACCGCATTGCAATTAATCAGTATTATCTACTTAATTATCTTTTTGTACTTTTTAATGTGCCTGAAAACAAATAATGATCTAATTTTAGTCTTGCGTCGTTGTTCATTAACGCTATTTTCATGTCATAAAACGACGCTTTAAATGCATATTAAAAAAATAGAAAATAATTTAAGAATTATCGTCATCTTATAAGATTAGGAAATCTATATGTTATTGTTTTTTCACAAATGAGCTAGCTCCTTTCAAAAATGTATTTTTGTCTGTAATATCAAGTTAATATGAAAAAAAAAATTAAGTACTTAAACTATGAAATATCAACACCAAATTAACTTAATTTATTGTATTAATGTTTGCACTTGAACATTTTCGAAACACTGTTTCACTTGTGTACGTAAATAGACTTGTACATACAAACTTATGGCTGGCAATCGAACTACATCCTTCGCTACCATCACAGCCCCACCTGATTGCTTTGCCTCCTTTCTATATACAACGCTGCAATATCTCCCACCTTTCTAGTTTGGTCGGGTAAAACGGGCTAGTAGGGATGAATTAAGGGGAAGTATTATGCAATTCTCGGACTTACGAATGGCGTATATAAGCTTGTAAAAGATTCAAGCTAAGTAGAAAGCCAGCAAGTCTCAGCACGTTAAGTGTATCACGCAGTCAGTCCAGCAAATCAAAGCAAGATGTACACGAAACTCGCTGTAAGTGACCCTATGACGATAGGAGAGCCTTGTTGACCTTTGTTTACATGTTAATCCTAGAGTACAATACGGTGTATATTTCTGTCCCTTTATGTTAATTAATTTAATTTTTAACTAGTAAACTCAATTTATTGCTCTTAATTGCGTGTCTTTGTATTTAAAAAAATTTAATTAAATAATGTTAATAAGTTATCTAAAGCATATTAATACGCATCGTTTCAAAATATAGATATAAATTAATATTGACTCTTGTGATAAAATAATTAAATAATGATAAATATTTAACTGATTGAAAAAGTCAATTATTCACAACTAGTTTTTCATTTTGTTTTAAGCTTTTCTCCATCGTGGTTGCTATCGTTGCCGCAGTTCCCACTCCTGGTGGCGGCGGACAGTAAGTACTTTTTTACAATATCCATTTCGAACAACACAAATATAAATCACAAAAATCATGCAAACTGTAATTGGTTCGATGTTAATTATAATGTTAAATATTATTGCGCTATAGACAGGAAGATATCTTAAGCATTCAATGATAACTTACGTAATATAAAGTACGTCAACGTAATATGCATCAAATTATATAAAGACTATTGTTTATGACCGATTTTTGAAACAACTTATCGCATAATATTTGCAATGCAGAAAAAATTATATAACCGAGTTAAATTCAAAAGTCTATCAATAAAAATAGTCGTGGAGAAATATTTATTTATTAAAAATTTTATACTTTTATTATTATGTCACGGAATCCATACGATAAAACAGGAATGTTTTTTAAGATGCATCAAAGATTTTTGTATGAAATAAGAGTCTGATATTTTGAGTAACATATGATAAATTCTTCTGACCTTTAAGGTTATATGATATATTACCGGAGTTTAATTCACAAAGAAGTGTACGTAAATTGTAAGTAACAAGGAACCGGTAATAGCAATCAATTAAGATCGAAAGCTTTCTTCTATGAGTATTAAATGTAGTGGTGTGTTTGTAGTGACGGGTATGACGCGATAATAGTTACCAACTAGAACCATTTTAAACATGTATTATCAAAGTTTTTATTATTTTTCTAAATAAAATGTTCATTATTGGATTTAACATCCTCAATGTCATTAGTCCGTAAATAGTTAATTAGTAGACTCTTTACTGTATTAAAGAACATATGACGTTAAAACGTTAAATTTCCGAAATAGATATTATAATATATTTAAAAAATCATCGCCATCAATCTCTATCATCACTATTCCCTAAGCTGTACCTAAAATTGCAATAAAAATACTAAAACGAACAACAACAGTACTGCGGACGACATCAAACAAATTTGACTTTGATGTTTGATTTTTGTGGTGATTTATAAGAATTTTTGTGGTTTAGATAAGATTGATGACCATCTTCTTCATATATAAAAATTACGTGTCACATTGTTTGTCCGCGATGTACTCCTAAACTAGTGATTTCAATGAAATTTTGCACACTATGTGCAGTTTTGTCCAACTTGAAAGATAGGAAAGTTTTTAACCCGATAAGTGACCCTCAAATTTTTTTAATGCGAATTTAAGTATCGTTTCAAAGAGCAAAGGGTCGTCGGAAAGGAGAGAACAACGTCTGCCTGGCCAGCTAATTTAAATATAAGGTTCACCAATGTATATATTTATTTTTACAACATTTTTATTAAGTTACTTTCTTGTTTGTCTATCCGTCTGTCGTTCCGGGTGGAAAAAAAAACCTGGTATATAAATTGTTTCATACATTTTTTTTTACTAGTTTATATGAGTAAACTAACCGCAGGAAAAGTGATGTGGCGCGGCGTAAGAGATAAGTAATTATGATTTATGAGTGTACCCGTATAATGATGAGAGCCAATGTGAAATTAAATATGTAAGCGCTTATTACGTCACATTAAGTAGAACTGTGAGAAATGAATTATAAAGAAACAGGAAATTTACAGTTCCACCGAAGCGAAAGGTTCTATAAATATATTGGAATAATCTCTTTAATTATTTATGTAAAGTACGGGAACTTATAAAATTATTTAAACAATACTTTGGCCCGTTGCCCTTAGCTGTTAGTCGCCATGATCCTCGTAGTGAAAGGGCTGGCTTTCGATGGCTTTATTTATTTATTAATGCCTAAGGCTTCTACTTAGTGTTTTACGTAACAAAAGCGTAAGTGTCGCGAATGCAGATTAAAAACAAAATAAAGTTGTCGCAATATCACCGCAGCGTGCGCAGTTTTAATTTACACTGTTTATAAATTTAATGTATTTCAAAACGTGCTATTATATAAATTTGATTTGTATAACGGTGTAATATAGTTTGCAAAAAACACCGTGTAGAAATGTTCGTGTGTATGATATATACTGCAGGAAGTCTAGCTGAAGTTATCTAATGAAGTATTTCTAGCGGAAAAACGCGATAATTTTAAGACGTGTTACGCGCTGACCTGTGAATTTCTTCTAATTCAAAAATACATTCCGATATAATAAAACAAACGTAAACTTAATTCTTCAATATGTAAAGTTACAAAATGTGAAATTTCAATGAAACCTCATTCAAGTTTGTTACATTTTGTTACGTAAATGGGAAATAATTGAGCAACTTGTTGGTTCAAACCGGCGAACTGGAATGATGGGCGAAGAAATGGGCAGTGCGTGGGGCCGGCTATTAACCGATGTCATTGCACTTGTAGAGAACATTTTTTAGGATTGTTTTCGCTTATTACTGGCTTATCACTTCGCGTCTCGAGTTATAACAACATGTTTTAACATATTATATTATGTGTTTCAGAATTAATTTAAATTCTATTACAATTAATATTTAGGCTTTTTTTGATAGTAAGAGTTAAGAAGTGTTGTTAGTAACAGTTTAGATATTAAGTCAAAAATTTAGATAGACGACGCCCGTGGATTGTTAAAAATAAGTTATTGAAATTAGGTTGCTGTTAGTAATAACTGAGATAATAAACAATGTGACATAGAAATTGAAGTAGCTTAAATTTTTATTAAAATGTCAAAAATAGTATAACATGTAATTTGAAAGAAAAAATTGCTCTCCGACAATGCATGGCCGGTCACGGATATGTCGCGTACAAATTGCGTGCTCGCTTTCACCGATAATATAGGGGAAATGGATGATTTTCTCTAAAACCATGAGCTTCGCAATTACGCTCATGTAACCTTCGTTATAGTTGCCGAAAGCGGTCGAGCTCGATTGTAAAACTTTAGATGGTTAAATAATAAAACCCATTTAGTTAATTACTTAGAGATATTTATCATAAAGCAGCAAGCATTTAATGGTGATTGGTGAATGTGTCGTAAAGAAAACATTATACGTTTATAATATATAGTCCCTTTCGTTATTGTTCCATAATTACCTGTAACAGTTCACTGTTGGACATGGACCTATACCATAGCTGGAAGGTTCTGCCATATGTATGTCTCGCACTATTGAAATCGTTGCCGGGGTGTTTGTGTCGTCGGCATATTGTATGATTTGTCGATATACTGTATGCTATGTTGTAGTCCGGTCATAGAATTAGGCAGATCGTGATCTGCCGTTTCATGATTTGATCGTTAATTTATCTGCGATATTACTTTGACCTCATATATATCTAATATAAATATTTGCGGAGCTGTGTTTAGACTGTGGCCTTTGGGCAACTTCATTTGCATCTTAACATACTGTCGCTGATATTACTTGGTGCTTTCGTATTTTTGGCAAATTTGCAAAAGTATAGTTATAAATTATAAAAACAATAATATGTAGTTATAAATTAAAGAAATAGAGGCGTATCATGAAATGCCTATGAAATTCTACGATCGGACTACGACACAACTTATCTGCTATATTTGGTAAACCAGCGAGCGTAACAAGGCCGTTTGTGTAGTGACGATTCATACAATTTGCCCAAGATTAAACGTCTGTTACCATTTATATGTATATTTATATCGTTAGCCGCATTCTACGATACCCACAGAAAAAATAAGGCACCACTAATAGAGAGATAGAAAATAAAAACAATATGGTCCTCATGTACATTGGCATGTTATGCAAAATGCAGCTACTGTTATTATAGTATTTATTTTCAAAATATATTAGCAGAATGTTAAAGTAAAATGTTATGTTATTTTTTATAGCAAACACGTGACTATCCACGTACCCTACAAGGTTCACACTATCCACCACCACCACGTGTCTAAAGTACATGTACCAGTGCACGTACCTGTTGTCAAGGAAGTGCCTGTGATCAGAGAAGTACCGGTATACAAGCACGTGCCTGTGCCCATAGTACAGCACGTGCCTTATCCAGTGATCAAGAAGGTGGAGGTTGAGAAGCAGGTGTTTGTGCCCGTACACTCTCATCATGAGGAGCACCACGGTTGGGAGAGCGAGTCGCTGTCGCATGGCTGGCACTGATTGGAAAGAAGTATTAAATTAGGTTAAGGTAAGAATACTGTCTTTACCTATAAAATAGATTCTATAATAAAAATAGTTTTGCCATATCCACAAGTGCACGTGATTACACAGAGGCACACACTTATTATTAGCCTGCCTGTACCTAATGTCACGCTTATGCATATCGGAAAAGACTTCAATAGAGTATAGTACTTAAGAGAAGGGAAGAGTTTTTTTTATAGGATAAGGATGACAAACGAGCACACAGTCCACCTGATAGTAAGTGGTTTCTGTGGCCCATAGACATCTACATCTATCCTCGATTACGAATCAAAATGCAGATGCGTTGTTGTGAGGACTAAGAAGGAATGCCTCGCTTCCAGTAAAAAAGGGCTCCGGTGTTTTTTTTTATAGGATCGGGTGACAAACGAGCGCACAGTCCACCTGATGGTAAGTGGTTTCTGTGGCCCATAGACATCTACATCTATCCTCGATTACGAATCAAAATGCAGATGCGTTGTTGTGAGGACTAAGATGGAATGCCTCGCTTCCAGTAAAAAAGGGCTCCGGTGTTTTTTTTTATAGGATCGGGTGACAAACGAGCGCACAGTCCACCTGATGGTAAGTGGTTGCTGTGGCCCATAGACATCTACATTTATCCTCGTTTGCGAATCAAAATGCAGATGCGTTGTCACCCGTGAGGACTAAGATGGAATGCCTCTTTTCCAGTAAAAAGGGTCTCCGGTTCTCTACACTCACCATACGAAACACGTGTGAGAGCGTGGTCCTTTCCCGTCGTGCCGATCCATTCGTGTTACAACTATACCAGAAATATAGCTGCAGCATGGCTCTACCACGTAAAGTATAGTGTATGAAAGTATACTTTAACTGCAAGCACCGTTTTTTTTTTTATAAAAGTCGACATCCACCTGATGGTAAGAGAATGCTGTAGTCCATAAGCATCTTCTTATTTTTCTTCCTCCTCTTCGTCAACCCGTAAAAGTGTTCTCCTTTTGTAGAACTATCTGTAGGAGATTTGTATATACAAGCACGCTTGCCAGGCGCATTGACATTGGAACGACGATAATCGCTGTACCAAACGTTTCGCTCCCTAAGAACGGTGATGAAATGCCTCATTACTGATAAAAAGAGTATCCGGTTTTCATCATTCACCATTTCCCGGTCAATTTGTACTAACCGCTCTGTAGTCACAATATGGCTCTACCACGTAACAGTACACCTATACAGTATCCATTTTCCTTCAGATGGACTGTCAAATAAAATCACATAATTTTTTATTGGTTACGCAATTAGTTCATATTTTTAATAAAACTAAAGTGACATAACAACATTATGTCCACGTGATGGTAAGTGGCTACTACATGGACGGCTGCAGCCATTTTTAAACAAAAAATACGACAGATGCGTTATAGCCTTTGAAGACTAAGATAGAATATCCCACAGTCTGTAAATATGTTGGCTCTCTTTACCCTTCATCAACACATCAAGGAACAGGCACTATTTGGCGACAGGAATAGGCAAGAGGATGCTACTTAGAAAGATATTTCATACTGGTAATTTTCTTTTGTCCACAGGTATTTTAAGTACAAACAAACATCTTTTCGTACTTACATCTATGATGTGACCCACCAGGGGAGTTGTTACAATTAACAGTTATAAATCAAGTTACCGTTATCATTTTAAATGTAAGAACCAAAGACAAAATAAAAGATGTGTTTTAAAGTCTTAATATTAATTTTTGTTTTATTTCTATTGAAATTAATAAATATACCTTCATACATCATAGTGTTGCAAAAATATGGATCTTCCAAATTTATCAAATACAAAAACGTTAGAATATATACGAGGAACATAATGATTTATAATAAAGCTATTTAAATGCATACATAAGTATGTTAAAACTCTAAGATTCAAATATTTACGAGCGACTTTAGATCTCTTTGATTTATAACATTAACAAATAAACGTTCACTTGTATATAATCTATGGTCAAGCGTTTTTAAGTTCAGGCGTAACATTGCGGATATCCGCAATGTAACGCCTGATTTTTTAATAGGAAAAGGGTGACAAACGAGCACACAGTCCACCTGATGGTAAGTGGTTGCTGTGACCCATAGACATCTGCATCTATATTCGATTACGAATGGAAATGCAGATGCGTTGTCACCCGTGAGGACTAAGATGGAATGCCTCGTTTCCAGTAAAAAGGGTCTCCGGTTTTCTACACTCACCATACGAAACACAGCAGCGTTAAGCTGCTATTTTACGCTGGTATTCTGTGAGAGCGTGGTCCTTCCCCGGTCTAGCCGAGCCATTCGTGCTACAACCATAATATAGCTGCAGCATGGCTCTACCACGTTAAAATCATAATAAAGATGTTAAAAATTAATTAGATTAGGTCCGCGTACTAAAATAAAATGCATGCAACGTCTTACATAGTTTAAAGAGCTCCCTCAATTGCGTACACTATCCCCATCACAACCAATCCCATCACCACTACAATGGAAACACACACCACCGTTAATAATACGACACGTCTTTTGCCTCTAAACGAGACATCATTAGGTAAAATTGACTCTGCGATGGCTGCCTGCTAAGAAACCGTCAGTCAAATTGTCTTTATCATCACCATCATCATCATTACAACCCTTCACAAGTCTACTGCTGAACGTATGCCTCCTCCAAAGGATGCACAAAGCACGGTCCTGAGCCAACTGCATCCATCGACTTCTTGCATGTCTTACCAGGTCGTCACTCCATCTAGTGGGGGGCGCCCTACACTTCGCCTACCGGTACGAGACTGTCACGCGAAAACCTTTTTTCCGTTTCGTTTGTCGTTTCTTCGAGCTATATGTGTCCCATTGCCACTACAGCTTACTAATTCGTTGGGCTATGTCTGTCACTCTGGTTCTACTGTGGATATCCTCCTTTAAATTTGTCTTAATTATTGTAAATTCTAATTTACCATATGAAGAAATTTCTTTAATCTTCTAGAATGCCTCTTTTGAGTTTTGGTTTCAGACAAACAAAGAAAGAAATACGCAGCGCTGCGTACATTTAAGGTGATGCAAAAACCACGATCCAGTTATTGTTAGACCACGCATTCACGTACACATAACGATCCATCCACACATAACGATCATTTGTAAACAACAAGGTGTATAATATGGTTGCGTCCAGCTGTGAACTTTTAAGGTCTGTTAAAGAAAGAAACAAGAAAGATGTGTGCGTGAGTGCGTGTCAAAATGTTAAACATGGTCATTGCGTCACTTTAAATGTACGCAGCGCTCCGTCTATCTTTATTTTTTGGCCAGAGGTTCTAGACATTTTTGAAAAGAACGGGTTCATTCATTCATTACAGCCATTTACACGTGCACCGCTGACATAGGCCTCCCCCAAGGAATGCCACAAAGCACGGCCTCGAGTCACTTGCAGTCATCGACTTCCTACTAGTTCGTAAAAGAAAGGGTTATCGCTTGTCAGTCATTATTATTATAACTATCAAAATCAACTATTTTGACTATGAAAATATAACGTATTAAAAGAGCAATAGCGACGACATTACGAACATCGATTAGTTCATGGCATTGGGAATTAGAAAGTTGGATTGGGTATTGGTTTCAATTTGTTATAGTGCGTTAACATATTAGCCATTAATGAATTCATGATGGGATATTGGTCAAATAGTCCTGGTACTATTTGACCAATTTCCCAAAGTTGATGGCTTCCAAAGGAAAACAACAACAGGATCAAATCAACGAAAGTGTTGATTATAAGTTTAATCTATATTATGATTATATATATATCATCATCATCATTACAGCCCTTCACAAGTCCACTGCTGAACATAGGCCTCCCCCAAAGAATGCCACAAAACACGGTCCTGAGCCACCTGCATCCATCGACTTCCTGCATGTCTTACCAGGTCGTCACTCCATCTCGTGGGGGGACGCCCTACACTTCGCCTACCGGTACGAGGCTGCCACTCGAGAACCTTTCTTCCCCATCGGTTGTCGGTTCTTCGAGCTATATGGCCGGCCCACTGCCACTTCAGCTTACTAATCCGTTGGGCTATGTCGGTCACTCTGGTTCTACTGCGGATATCCTCATTCCTAAGTTTATCACGCAGAGAAACTCCGAGCATAGCCCTCTCCATAGCTCGCTGAGCGACCTTGAGCTTCCTCATACGGCCAGCAGTGAAGGACCACGTCTCAGTTCCGTAAGTCATCACTGGCAACACGCACTGGTTGTACAATTTCGTTTTAAGGTTTTGAGGTATGTCTGACGAGAAGATGTGTCGTAGCTTCCCGAACGCTGCCCAGCCGAGTTGAATCCGTCGATTGACCTCTCGGTCGAAGTTGGACTTACCCAGTCGGACTATTTGTCCCAGGTAAACATACTCGTCAACAACTTCGAGCTTAGTGTTCCCAACAACTATCGGCATAGGTGTGACATGGACATTAAACATGATCTTAGTTTTGTCCATGTTCATCTTAAGACCTATCCGTTGGGAAACACTATTGAGGTCATTGAGCATAGTGCTTAGGTCCTCCAGCGATTCTGCCATAAGGACTATATCGTCGGCAAATCGAAGGTGAGTGATGTACTCGCCATTGATGTTGATACCGTATCCTTTCCAGTCCAGAAGCTTGAAAACGTCTTCCAATGCAGCGGTGAAGAGTTTCGGGGATATGACGTCACCCTGTCTTACACCTCTCTGCAATTGGATAGGTTTCGTACTCTGGTTCTGTACTCGGATAGCCATCGTAGCCCTACTGTACAAGCACTTCAACACTTCGATATACCGACAGTCAACTTGGCACCGCTGAAGGGACTGCAGCACCGCCCAAATTTCGACGGAATCAAAGGCTTTCTCATAGTCCACATACGCCAGACATAGTGGCAAATTGTACTCTTCGGACTTCTGTACAACTTGCCGAAGGGTATGTATGTGGTCTATGGTGCTAAAGCCCTTTCGGAAACCGGCTTGTTCGGGAGGCTGGAAGTCGTCAAGTCTGCGCGCGAGACGATTCGTAATGACTCTCGAAAACAGCACGTAGACGCGGCTCAGAAGGGAAATCGGTCTGTAGTTCTTCAAGAGAGCGTTGTCACCTTTCTTGAAGAACAAGACCACCGCACTTCTGCTCCACGCCTCCGGTGTAATGCCACCATGGAGGACGGAATTAAAGAGCTTCTGAAGGACTTCAAGTACCGGTCTTCCACCCGCTTTCAGAAGCTCCGCTGTAATTCCATCCTCGCCTGGGGCCTTACCGTTTTTAAGGTGCTGGAGAGCCATCCTAATCTCGCTCAGACTGACATCCGGGATATCTTCGGAATAGTGTCGGATGAGACTCGCTCTTGGATCGTTACTCACACTTGCGTGTGGCTCCAACGATGATGTGTACAGCTGCCCATAGAACCTCTCAATCTCACTCAAAATCTCAGGTGTCCCGGAAACGATGCTGCCACATTCTGTCTTCAGCTTTGACAGTTGGCTCTTTCTGGCAGACAGATCTCTGGCAAAGACTTTGGAGCCTTGGTTCCGCTCGATCGCTTCTTCAATACGAGCTGTATTGAAGTTGCGTAAGTCCCGCCGCATGCATTTGGAGATCTGTCTGTTCAGATGCCTGTATGCTGTCAAGTCTGTTGAAGAATGTAGCTTCATCTCCCGTCTAACAACCATGAGATTAAGAGTGTGATCGGAGAGTTTTTGTGTTCTTCTGCGGCGGGTCTTGCAGAACTTAGCTCCAACCGCATGGACAGTTTCCACGAGCTTGTCATTCATATCGTCCACTTCATTGCAGTCTTCTAGGCACTGAAAACGGTTTTGTAACTCGAGCTGAAAGGTTTCGGGACTTTGAAACAGAGCACGAGGGGGACGGAGCGTTGACTTCATTAGACGAGACCTCTCCAACTTAACGTTCAGGTTCAGTGTGCCTCTAACCATATATATATATATTAAATAATAATTACTTAATATATTTGTATATACTTAATAGTATGCGTTCCTGTAATATTCATCGATAACGATAAAAAATTAAAAAAGTAGGTGAGTTGTTATGTGATCCGCGACGAATTCTCATCAATCAAATAATGAATATTTTTTCATTTTCTTTTTATAGAATAAGTATTAAAAATGATAAGCAGGTTCTTCGTTAATTCTCGATGCGTGCCGTGTAAAGGTAATATTAAAATATAAAGTATTATATTAAGGTACAATGTACAATAAAACTAAACGATACTTAGCAATTTGTGCCAAATAAATATTACTTTTACTAAAAAATTATACTTAAACTAAAAAAAGATTTTCGATTGTTATTTAAGACTTTTAATCACATTAAACACATTGAACCTCTGATAAAAATGCCATGAATAATCGCAATTCTAGCTGGGATATGAATCGGCAGTAAAATATATATGCATAAATGACCAAATCTAAAGCAGGAGGCGAAAATAAAAGTGATAGTGAAGTCGTTCGCGTGGAATTACGTTTTATGAATAACAATAACAATCCGGTCCATGTTGTACGTGTGATGAAGATTACGCGAATGCGAATGAAGTCCGACATAACAGTTTCCCAACACTCTCACATTCGCACAGTAATCTCATTAGGACGTTACATTGAACAGTTCTTGATGTAGATCTTAAAAAAACAAAACAATTTAGTGATGAATTTGGTGTGATTTCTTTCTTTCTGATTTATTTGGTTATACTGCTTTTGATACAACTTTAATCTCCAGTATAAACTTTTAAATTAAATTGTGTCAGTTCTATTTAATCAATAACGGGAACGTCAGATCAAATTTCTTAAATAAAGGTGTAGATAAGTGTAAGGTGAAGACTTACGAATAAGAATAAATTGAAGACGTTTTAGTTCAGAGGATAAATTGTAAAAAAAGAGATTACAACCACATTTATACATCCATAATCCATCCATTACAGATTAGGCCTCCCCGTTTAGCAGGCGGGTTCGCAACGGCAGACTTTATAATCTTTATTTGTTATCAGGTAGATGCTGCTGGCCATTTCCTGTTTCAATTTCACTCTGCCGCCTCTTGCGACATCCACGGAACGATACTATGGTGCAGTGGATATTCTTACCACCCCTACACGGTCAAATTGAAACAATAGTTAATTTCGTTGAAATTATTTAATAATCAATAACAATCATTTTTATGATTAATCAATAAAAATTGATTTACGCAAACTAATTTAAGAATTGTATTAATTTCAATAGAAAAATTACAATTAAATCAAGCAATAATCTTAAGGAAAGAAAAATATGCACTGTTAAAAAAATAGCAAAATATTTTTAAATCTCACCATCATATATTATATTATAAATGAAAGCATTCTGATGTTTAGATGTGTTTTGCATTCAGGAATCACTGATAACATTTGAGTTTTTATATCCCTCTATAACACTATTCTTAACAAAATGTTTTTTTTTCTCTATCGAATCATCTTGCATTATATTCTCTGATACAGTGACATGTAACTTCGTATGTAGTAAATGCCACTATACTTGTTAACTGAGACTTTAGCACAGTTATTTTCCAACCTTGATATAATCCTCTAATACCATCTTTTTTAATGGTATTATATATGCATGCTAAAAATTTGTTGCATCGGATTAAATGCTGGGAGGTGCTCGGCGTAGAGTATCTGCTGTCTTGTTTATGTGTCTGAAAGTTTGTTATGTTTTTAAAATATGAAAATATTTAAAAAAACATGCGTGAGCGTCGTGGAACACTCGTTTCGAACGAAGTTCCTTTCGTAGTGCATTATTATTGATATAAATTAATTACTAACATCTATTAAAATGAAGCGTCATCTATACAAATAAATAAAATTGAAGTGTCTGCTGTGTCTGTTTGTAATGTCGAAATAATAGCTTTTTACTATGGGCATATGAAAGTATATACGGTACTTATAATAAAAACACGATTTTAAAATTCTGTCTGTCTGTCTTTCTATCTGTCTGTCTGTTTGTTCCAATCTTAATCTTCGAAACGGCTGGACCGAATTTGACCGGACTTTCACTGGTAGATAGCTGATGTTATAAGAAGTAACTTAGGCTACTTTTATTTTAGAAAAATAAATAGAGTTCCGCGCAAAAAATTAAAAGCCATGAAATCCAATCGTAATAAATTACGCGCAGGCGAAGTCGCGGAGAACAGCTAGTTTACAATAATATTTCTTCCATGGCAAGATAACTCGGAGTAATTACTAGCATATGTATGTAATTTTTTAATTATTCCATCTCGCTCGCACTATAGAAAGAGGGTCGTGAAAATCTTACACTTTTTCTCGCCTAGCCCCCATCCGCCAAATTCGTACCGTGCGATAAGGAACTTCGTTCCAAAAATATATTTATGGCGGACAATTAAGTAAATTAAATACGACGTACGTATTATAATTTACATTTTATATAGCGTGAATATAATAAAATCGTTGCAGTCTCGTAATATTTAAGTAGTAAGTATAGTAGAAGACTTAAGAGAAGAGCAGATAACTGGACACGTTTTTTTACTTATTTTAAGCGAGTGCTCGACCACAATCTCTCCTGGTAATAAGTTCCGATGAAACCCTAGATGGTAAATTGGACTGTCTTAGTATAACAAACGCCTATTCACTTTTGCCTTGATTGTATTCCGATTCAACTGCTGTACGCATCACGAAAGACAAAGCAAACCGTTTGGTTCAAATGCGAAGACCCGCCGACCGCCCGCTTGTCCGATGGTGGTCTTACCCTTTGTAGGGAGGAATTAAAGCATATAACTTATAGTTCATGCGCAAACTCTTCGAAATGCATCTTATTGAGAGACTATCTCTATCTAAATCTACGCCTGTGCTCGAGGCTGACGAAGTTGGTTTCAACTAAATCAATATTACCAATAACCTCTTAGCACATCTCTCTATTGAATCCAATGCTGCTATGCTAAGTATCATTTTGCAGCACTAACCCATATAAGGTAAACCAGCTGCCTCGGCGTTTATTATCGCCGCACTCTTGCAAGGACATCTAGTTTCCTTACGGCTGCTTTGATCCTGGACTCAATAAACCGCTCATAGTTAAGGCTCGGAGAAATCTCAACCTCTAATAACGGAAGGCGGGCAGTGTACTCCAAAGATACATTCCGAAAAGTAGAAGCTAGGATGAGCGGGTTCCTTTTAGCGGTGAAGAGACACGCTTGTGTTTTGGAGGTGTTGAATCTCACAAGTTTGACATCACCACTTGGAGAGTTCGCACGCTCAACCATAGCTTCTCTTTCACTTAGTTGTAGTCGGCTAAACCTAGGTGTAATCGCACTTGAGCCGTGACATAGGTGAAAAAAATATTCTTACTTCGTTAATTCTTCTTAAATATTAATTGCAAATCGTTGAATGTTCTGAAAATATGACAAAGATTACTCACACCAATCTGCAACCGTCTTTTTACGAGATCAAAAGGGTAGGTAGCCGTTTTCGATACAAATCCGGCCGCAGAACCAGCCACCATACTGGCGATCACGATGTGTGCCGGCTTGTGTGCGATGTTTTGTGAGTGCTCGCCATTATCATTATCGTCCGATAGATGCCTCAAAATGAAAGGTTGTAACCAACGGAACACCGAAAATGACAAACCAACAGCAGGTCCCAACTGAAAATATTTTTATGGGTTAACATATCGTTATTAACTAATGCGGACAATATATACTCGTATATAGTATAAAACAATCGCTTTATGCTTAGCAATAAATTTTGCTAAGAATGTTTATTTGTATATGTATTCAATAAACGTCAATGTGTGAAAATTCTGAGATCTTGTGTTCGAATCCTAAGAGGAAGTTGTTATTTCAGGTCTGCGATTGGTTTTAATAATAATAATTATTGTTTATATTTGTGAAAGCTTATTAATTTTATACGTGGTCGAGACAAATAATGCACATTAATGCACAAATTTATCATCGGTTCTGGGTACACAAAATAATAAATAAAGTGACTCTAGCGTTTTTTTTTATGAATACAGTTTATATGTGGTAGATCCACATTGCAGCTGTTTAGCTGCAGCACAATTTGGTTGGCTCGACCGAGAAAGTACCACGTCCGCACAAAATACATGCATAGTTTTTTTTGGGTGATAGTAAGTACCCCATTGCAACGAAGAAAATACCTGAGACCCCGCGTTATAATACTAGAAATAAACCATAAGGTTCCTCAGGTTCTCACTTAAATGGTACGACCCTGTAACTTTGACCCAAGGTTATAATACTAGAACTAAAAATTCGACGGTTGAATGACGCGAAACATAAGTTTGGCAATTCTAAGCGTTTTAACAATTTTTTTTGATTAGCATTGAATTAACTATGTTCAGACTAGGAAGAAGTTCATTTAGGCCATTTTGTCAAAACCCTCGTGAACTTGCCAAGTCTTCTGAAAAGAGGTAAATTGCAATTCTACTCTTATTTATTTCATATTTGAGTTCGAGAGTGAGAGAGTACCTACTTTAATACAAAAACCTGCCTCTTCATTCTTAGTATAATGAGCAGAATTTTTAGCATTCTGTTTGAAAATTAAGCATTTTAACAATATTATATCAAAAATCTCTAGGAAGAAATAAGTAAAATGCGTAGGATCTAATCAAGTTATGAGATAACTTGTAATGTAATATTTACAAAAAATGTTCAGTTAAGTGTTATCATTGTTACTAGCTGTTCATATGCAATAGCTTAAAATGTTACATCATCGATACAATGTAGGAGGATCTACCAATCATTATCGACATACAAACTTGTATCAAAGATGCGGATAGTCCTTCGAAGAACGCGAGAACGCCTCCAGTGTTATACACTTCTTTTGCACCGTTTAAAAGCCCCTTATACTGTTCTTTAACTATCATTTGTCTCACTCTGATTACCTCTAGAGGTGAGGCTACTGTAGCTGAACAGCAGCCTGCAAAAATTCCACAGAAGAACTCCATTGTAGGTCTGGAAACATGTTAATACGCAATGTTAGATTTAGTGACAGAGATCCTCAAATTATACATTTAATTACTTTTATATAACAACTACTAAAAATATAGTAAACATTCTAAAATCTACCAAAAATATAGTAAACATTCTAAAATCTACCAAAAATATAGTAAACATTCTAAAATCTACCAAAACATAATGGAAAGGGTGCGCTGCTTTGGATTTTATAATACTTATTACGGTATATATGACAAAATCTACGTGGTAAAGTAGGTATAGGTGTCGCTTGAAGTTATAAATAAGGCGATCTCTACTTACATATTTATTATTATAAAATATTTAACAAAGATAATTTATTAAATTGTTAATATTAATTTAATATTTTTTTATAAAATAATGACAAATGAGTATACAGTCCACCTGATGGTAAGTGGATGTTGTAGCGTATAGATATCTATATCTGTCTTCCATTAACCTGTTGCCACCACTGAGAACTAAGATGATGAATGCCGCGTTTCAATTAATAGGGTTCTCTAGTTCTCTCCAGTCACCATACGAAACACAGCTGCATTAAGCTATTTCACGCTGGTATTCTGTGAGAGCGTGGTCCTTCCCCGGTCGAGCCAACCTTTTTGTCCAACAACTATAATAGCTGCAGCATGGCTATCACTAAAACGTTAATTGAAACATTTTTATAATTTATACTTTAAAATAGAAAAATAATTATGGCGTTTTATGAAAGTACGACATAGTAGGTCGACTTTGCAGTAGTATTACATAGTATATTATGCATTATACAACAGTGGTCACATCACACGCTCTCAAATTACATAATGATGCTGCGAATCGATGCTAGTCATTACATTACATATATTCTTGTCAACAACTGTGCGCTCGTTTATGACCTATACTTGTTTAAAAACATAAGTGCTTCGTTTTTTATACAAATAACTTCTTTGTATACACTCACCACTACCCTCTTAGCTGTTTCTTCTGTATAGTAGGTAGTGCTTGTTCCGCAGTGTTCCGGTATGAGTCAGTGTAACAGGCTTTAAGACATTTTATCTTAGTCTTTAGACGTGAAAGCGCATTTGTATCCTTCTTAGTTTGAAGTTGGCTACAGGTGCCCATGGACTCCTGTAGCCATTTACTATCAGGTGGTTTTGAAATTCGTTTGACACTTTAGATTTATAAAAACATATTATTAATTATATTACATGAATAGCTGTTACCCGCGACTTAGCCCGCGTATTATTTGGGGTTTTAATTTATTTGCGCGGAACCCTAATTCTGTTTCTAAAATAAAAGTTGCCTAAGTTACTCCTTGTGACGTCAGCTATTTGCCAGTGAAAATCCCGTCAAAATCGGTTCAGCCGTTTCGGAGACAGGCAGACAGACAGACAAAACTTTAAAAATTGTATTTTTGTTATTAGTACCGTATATACTTTCATATGCATTTAGTAAAAAGCTGTAATTTTGACATTAAAAACAGACACTTAAATTTTATTTATTTGTATAGATACGCATTCCGATTTTAATCTTTACTACTAGTGAGCTTAATTACTCACAAGTGCTTCTCGTCAATCCCAGAATTAGCAACCTGCTTTGTCGCTAGTTCGTACACAAAAAATTGTGCCAACACTGATAGTGTCGAATGTATCTAAAACAAGGTTTATAAAATGTTACTTTATGGTTTTGTAATGCCAACAAAGCCTTCAAAAATATATGAATGTTGTTTACCTACATCCTATACAATAATATTCATATATTTAAATATGCTGTATTTTTTTATCATCATCGTTATCATCATAACAGCCCGTTACAAGTCCACATGTGAACATAGGCTTGCACCATGGAATACCGCAATGCACTTTACTAAGTCTACTTCGTCCACCGACTTCCTGCATCTCTACGTCGTCACTTCATCTAAAAATTACCAAAACTCCAACGAAAAATTATCAACTGACCCAAGCGCCGTATTTCTCTTTGAATGGTGCAAGTGAGTATACAGATGCTGTGCGGTATTTCATCTTAGTTCTCAGTGATGGTGAATTCGGTTGCAGGTGTGCAAGAGGTGCATTTGCTAGTTACGACCAGATGGACTGTTCGTCAGTCTAATCTTATAATTTTTATTATTATAATAAATGTGAAAATGTTTTTATACATGGTAGAGCCATGCTGCAGCTATATTAGTATTAACCTTAACTAACTTAACCTATTATATATTTTAAAAAGAACCATTGCAGAAACGTTATTAAAAGAATAGTGTGTTTTAGGGTATAATGTTCAAATTTAATACGAATTCAACTTTTAGAATTTTAACAAATTTTTAGTATAGTTGTAGCACGAATGGGTCGGCTCGACCGGGAAAGGACCACGCTCTCACAGAATACAAGCGTAAAATAGCAGTTTAACACTGCTGTGTTTCGTATGGTGAGTGTAGAGAACCGGAGACCCTTTTTACTGGAAAAGAGGCGTTCCATCTTAGTCCTCACGGGTGACAACGCATCTGCATTTTGATTCACAAACGAGGTTAAATGTAGATGTCTATGGGCCACAGCAACCACTTACCATCAGGTGGACTGTGTACTCGTTTGTCACCTCATACTATATAAAAAATAGATTTGTATTTATAAGTTAAGACAAAGAGACGAGGCAGCTTAGGGTAGTTTATCTTCATAATAAAAGCTCGCCTTAAAGTTTTAGAATATGAAAGCAAACAGGGTTCGATTCCGTCGGTACAGATGAAAATGTCATCTGCGATTTTAAACGCTGGTTTACCACGTACTCGTCGTCGCAGTATTACATTCTGGAACCTGCATGTTTAAGAATTTAAAATATATTTTCGATTTCACGCATGAGGCAGCATGGTGGACGCTTCCCTACCTGTCAACGCCCGAAAAGAGGCCTGTCCCTAGAATTGCGACGTATATTGGCTGTTTATTTTTGACGATGACACTAGCTTACACACTTACTTATCAATAATGTAAGAAATAAAAATTACACGTACATTTTTGTTTCATTTTAATTAATGAAAGTTTTGATATAATCTCGGAATTGCGCGAACTGTGCAGTTCACGCTCACTAATCAATAATATTATTTGATAACGTTACTGACTTAGATAGTGATAAAAAGGCAAAACAATGCCTATCACTTATTAATAAAAACGTTACTCCCACGCTAGGAATTTCTCCTGTATCGTGAATACAGAAACAGTACATGACCAAACATTGTTCCGTGTGACTATCGAACCCCAGGCCAGGATATATCAAAAATAATAATAAATAAAACTGTAAAAACACGAGCGAGCCTTACAGCAGTCGCATATGATGTGTAACATCAGACATGTCGCCTTGGTAATAAGTAACATTGACATTATATCCTGAAAAGAGCTATTTTTTAATCAAAATTAAAAATATCTATTGAGCAGCGATAGATATTAACCTCACAACTCATAAAAGATTAAAATATTTATTTGAATAATTATTCATTATTACTCTTTTGCATTTTTTAACAATGATTTTCACTTTTTTCACATATAAATTAGTCTTATAACAGAACACTTTACTACCACCGCACGCGCTCATTGGTCAAATCAAATAGCGCGCGCTTCCTCATCTTTATGTTACACATTTCCGTCCCTTTTCACGAAATCACTCCCACAGATTGCGGGAAAGTGAGAGGGAAGATGTTACTCATCAAAAACTTTTTTTGGACCTCATTATTTTCTCCCCCTGTTGTAGGAAGTAATATCTATTAGCTTTAGCTGGCTTGGTCAGCGAATTGAGGAACGCAGTATCCTCCCTGTCGCCGGTATGGGTATTGTATTTCTGACTGGCGATCCGCCCCGGCTTCGCACGGGTGATTTCTGGAACTTGACAACAGCGCCACCTACCGGGTCCAAATATAAATCTAAACCATCAATCTATTCAACCACACACAAAAAAAATCATCAAAATCGGTCGATCCGTTTTTGAGTTTTAGCGAGACTAACTTACATCAATTAATTTTTATATATAGAAACGTAAACGGGCCTCTTATAACGTTACATATCACCCACGGGACGGGATTTTAACATCAAGCCTAACGTTACATTATATTTAAACAAATAATATGTAATAAATTACCTGCCCAATGTAGTGTCCATGAAAAAATGCTTTAAGTCCTTCTTCTTGCGATATTTTTCTTATTATCTCAGAAATATTAATGCTTCTCCCATCTCCGGACTTCTGTTGAAGTTGCATTCGTAGTTTTACTATGTCCAATGGTTGTGTGATTAACCGCGCTATCATACCGGTTACACACCCAGCGATAAATTTCTGATTATGAGTCAAAGAGTCGTTACGCTGGTAACCAACCATTTTTGGGTAAGGGACATCATGTGCGACAACCGAATTTGTTTTTATGTACCATCATAATTGTAATTGAATTACATACCATCTATGTAATTTCATTAGTGCAAAGCACGGCTTCTATTTTGACAACATAAAAATATTTTTAATTGACAAATGACAGAAATTTATAGTCTTTACACGAAACGCATTTAGGTTTTTACAGAATTAGGTACTTATGTTTAAAAATCACGTTTTGGGTTTAGAAGAAGGCACTTATCTTTAAAAAACACTTTTCGGCTTTAGTTTCCTATATATAGAGCCCTGGACTTGGTTTTTCAAAAATATAAGAAATAAGACAACTTTACTAAAGCTATGTCATTTCTTAATATACGAGTACTCATACATTAACTTTCTTCTCAGAACTAAGTAAGCAAAATATTATATTAAAAAAGACAGTCAAACAAAACTACAGAGTGCAAATATTAATATTTATCCGTAAAGATAGATAGATAATAGAGTTTTTAATCAATATAGATTATACACAATACTTATGTATTGAAAGTCATTAAAATTTTAATTTACCACAGGTTCGGAAAATACACTTGTCATGGAAAGAAACCCAGAGGTACTTTGTTTTAAAGAAACACGAAGAAACCGTGAAAAAAAAGCAATAATTTGTTGTTGCTTAGTTCAATATTAATATTACATTATTACAACAATTAAATTATAAATAGTTTGGTAGCGATCACCTTATATCCAGGGTTTATTGTCATAGCGTGATATTACCAAATAACCGCTAAGTGATTAAACCTAAATCGAAATCAATCTAGGTTGATCAACAAAACTGTAATGTCAACTGTAAACCACGCCCGATGATTAGTAACTTCTACAATCCTTGGATATGTGACATGTCACACAGCCTGTAAAATTGATGCAATCTGGAATACAGTGAGAAAAACGCAATTTCGTCGCCTAATGGCTCTTAATGGCGAATGGCATCAGAGCAGCTGAATTCGTTAATAATAATATGTATTTACATTATCTTTATTATTTTTTATGGTTACGGATTTTATTAACGCGTTTAATTTACAGACGACGACTGAGATGTTTGACATCCCGATGTCACACTTACAATTAAAATAAGTAAGTTAAACGCCATAAAATCCGTAAACATAATTTTGTTCAATGTGTAATATAAGAATTCATTACATTATCTTGTTGTATTGATTACAAAAGCTACTTGTGGCAAATAAAATTTGTTTTTTTCGATATGAATACGCACGTGATAAGCTTTTGTGAGATAAGATAATGTTTTCATATAGGTACGATTGGAAAGCGAAAGTGAATACGGATAAAAGTTTTTGATAACTAGGAATTTTATTTAAGAAATTAGAAGAAAATTCATATATATTCGTTTAGTATTAATTTATTAGATTCGAAATATATTTTACGAAATTAAGAGATGAAAAGAAAATGGGATCATGATTTTGTAATAATTTCTGTATTTTGAAAAAATAAGTTGTAATAAAGTTAAAATTAAATTTATAAAATATCTACATCTATTTTAATAACTACATATAATTTTATAATGTTTAAGAAATAAAATATTTGTACTGAATGTCTATTTTGTCTGATGTTCCCTGTTTTAACTGCGATATTTTTTAAGAGTTAATATTCTATTTTCGAATTAATAACGAGCCTAATAACCTTGTCAATCAATTAGATAATAGGGATAATGATGGGCTTAAATGTTGCAAAAGTATCTCTATTAAAGTAAGATTATATAGTGGCCTCTCCGAAAATTCTTCCTAAAAATAAGGTACATTCCAAAATTTGGTAACACTGACCATATTGACATAAACTGTACTATGGTCTGTCATCTACTGTCATCTTTAGTCGCTATTATAAAAAACTTTTTATTCAATCACAAGTTTAATTTTTTTGCCATCCCGCCTGCCAAGCGTGTCATAATCACCTCGATGAGGTTTATGACTTTTATGAGCACTTGCACTTGTATAGATTGTAGAATATTCAAGATATGAATTTACTATATAGGTACTGGGACATATTAATTAGGAAGAGTACAGAAATTAATATGTACTACAATATTCACAAGCGGGACAATGCCTACTTATTCTCCGATCAAATCTGCCCCCTTTTGATTTGACCGACGGATGAGAATCTAACAACGGGCGCAAAGCCTATCAAAAAACGTTCACAGTCTAACTTCTTTGGACCTTTTGTTTGATACTGCTTTACATTATAAGCTGACATTTGTTATGAATTTAAATCAACATAACGCTTTCGAAACTTATAACTAATAATTACAGATTTTATGGAATTTTTATTAAAAGCTCAAAATTTATTTCAACCGTTATATGTATTCTATTAATGTTTCTTTTTAATGGTATCTTATTTCTAGTGATCTAGTTTAAGACCTCGTCATCAGAGACAGCTGTTTTAAGCAAATGGCGAAACTATGAATAAATGTGCCACTTTATGTAGACATGTTCGGCCTTAGAGGACCACGCTCGGTAAAGTTTTTAAAAGAACTTTTAGTAGCTGCAACTGTTCGTTGCCGCCGGTGACATGAGAGTTAATTTTTCCTGACCAAAGGCTAAGTTAAGCCATTCAGCGACGAAATGCAGTCATTCTTTTTGGCGCTATGTTCCAGATTGCGTCAATTTTCAGTACGTGCATGATAGTCTGCAGTTTTACAGTCTGTGATGCTCAGGAATTGCAGGTGCTACTAATCATCAGGTTAGCTCGCTTGTTACTCTAACATTCTAACAAAATAGAGTTTTGCTGGTCAGATTGATTTCGATTTAGATTGATTTTTTTTTATAGCATAAGGGTGACAAATGAGCACACAGTCCACCTGACGGTAAGTAGTTGCTGTGGCCCATAGACAACATATGCGTTGTCACCCGTGAGGACATAAATGAATGCTTCATTAGCAGTAAAAGGGGTCTCCGGTTCTCTATACTCACCATACGAAACACAGCAGCGTTAGGCTGCTATTTTTCGCTGGTGTTCTGTGATCTGTAGTAAAACCATCTCGAATTTATACCTAGAAACGCTCCGGATTGTCACGGGTAACAGCGCCACCTACAGGGCTCAATTGTAAATCTAAACCATCCAGGAACTCCCATCCAATCTACATATTAATATCTGTCGTATATCTATTATCGTCACTGCGTTACCAGCGATACGTTTTGCCAGCAACACACGTGGTAGTGCCGTGCTACAGCTATATTAGTAGTATAGTTGACTACGACACTTTTACTTTTACGAGAGAACTCGTACTAACGAATGGGTTGGCTCGTCCGGGGAAGGACCCGGTCTTACAGCGTAAAATAGCAGCTTAACCCTGCTGTGTTTCGTATGGTGAGTGTAGAGAACCGGAGATCCATTTTACTGGAAAAGAGGCTTTCCATCTTAGTCCTCACGGGTGACGACGCATCTGCATTTTGATTCTTTATTGAGGATAAATGTAGATGTCTATGGGCCACAGCAACCACTTACAATCAGGTGGACTGTGTGCTTGTTTGTCACCCTATCCTATAAAAAACACAAATGTCAACAGTTCGTTGCGGTGAAACTTTCACAGCACCTAATAAGCACCTAAAGAGCCCCTAATTTTGGTTTCATCTAAATGAAAATTCCTGACTTTGCGTTGCTGGCGAGACACAGCAGCCGCAAGGAAACTTGGTGTCCTTGCAAGGGTGCGGCGGTACTTCACGCCGGGGCAGCTTCTTACCTTATATAAAGCACAAGTCCGGTCGTGCATGGAGTACTGCTGTCACATATGCGCTGGTGCTGCAAAATGCCACCTTGCAGCATTGGACTGAGTGGAGAGACGTGCTAAGAGGCTTATTGGTGACCTTGATTTGGTTGAAACCAGTCTTGTCAGCCTCGAGCACAGGCACAGAGTAGCCAGTCTCTCGGTATTCTATAGGATGCATTTCGGTGAGTGTGCGCAGGTATTACATGCTTTAATTCCTCCCTCTCCTTTCCACCATCGGATAACCAGGCGGTCGGCGGGTCTTCATCAATTTGTTGTTGATATTCCACGCATTAGAACCAAATGGCTTGCTTCGTCTTTTGTCATGCGGCAAAGGAGTGGAATAATTTGCCGGCGTCCATCTTTCCGTCCGAATACAATCTGGGCGTCTTCAAGGCAAGAGTGAATAGGCTTTTGTTACGATAAGACAGTGCGATTTACCATCTAAGGCTACCACTTACCACCAGGTGGGATTGTGGTCAAGCACTGGCTTATAATAAGTAAAAAAAAAACACAGCTGAGTTATTGCGCACTAACGCACGGCAATTAATTTTTCTTTATATAGATATAAAGTCATGTACGAGTACAACAGCGCACTTATGAAGTTTGATTATGATGGTGACACTTTACTGGAACTAATAACATGTCAAAACTCTTTTGAAAAGTTCGTTGAGTAAACAGCTTCTAGACTTAAAATGTATTCAATACTTAATACATAATACGTAATACACGTAATGTAAAGTTCCTACTCGTATTTCGCTGATTAGTCTGACCATTTAGAACGGCCCTAAAGTGCTTATTGTTTTTCGGACACCCAACGGTGCGGACATGTCGAGAATTAATTTTAGGACATCATTTTATTAAAGTTCTTGTGAACATCAGTGTAATGTTAGCTGTTTTGATACTGCATTAAAAAGTTTAGTATTAGCAGATACTTAAGTTTTTGTTCACGATACGTAAGTACTTTGACGATGGATATTGTTTTTTATTTAAATAATAACATTTTGTTTTGGGCAATGTTTTTTACTTTTAATTTTCCTTGAAATGTATGCAAGTCAGTGTACTGACTATGTATGTAATATGATGTTATTGTTAAAGTAAGATTTTAAGCCTGCCAACTATTTATTTCTCTTGACTGGTAGCATTATCTACTATGTATGAATTCCTTTCGGTGTAAATTTTATTGAGTATTGAGAAAGTTTTAGGACAAGGAGGAGTCCACTGTTCCAATGCTTGTGGCGGA